TGATGGAGAGCGGAAGCTATAAACCTAACTTGTAAGTGAAGTAACGATAGAAGGGGCGCGAATACTCTTCGCAGTGTTCGTTAGAACTCTTTAGGGTGGCGAATACTCTTCGCAGTGTTCTTGAGAGAACTCTTTAAAACTGAAATCTTTATTAATCTGAAAAGTTGTATCTCATCTCTTGATGAGGATCCTTATTTATACTAAGTAAAAAGCCATAATCCTAATGGGTTTGTGATTCCCTTAGCTAATTGGAAATTAAAACTAATCTAAGAAAAGGAAACAAAGAAAAGTAAATAACGCTAAGTGTTTGAGGTGTTGTGATCGCTAGAGATCACAACTGGCGCTGCATCACGTGTTCTGTAAACATGTTATATATAATAATATAAGTATATAACTATTTTATATTAAGAGAGATCTAATAGTTTAAGCTTACCAAGTACAAGGAAGCTCCTCTTCCAAAGATAAAATCATAGGTTCCTTCGATGTAACAGTCCTTGAAGAAATGGTTGCCTTTGTCGTCACAAAGAGTATCTTGAAAACCGTGGAATCTGCAACTGTAGAAAGCTGCTTTATCACCGTTGATCCTCATAGCTAGAGCTTGTCCTTGTGTGCCTGGTTTGGGCATAGGAGCAGTATTCTATAGAATAACAAAATCAAACATACACATACATTAGATCAGTATAAATAGCAAGTAATGTAATACAACATACGTAGAACGTATATATATATATATATTTCACATACCTTGATGATGAGGTTAGCTGCCAAGAAATAGTCTGACCAGACTATAAGAGTTGCACTCTCTACGGTTCCGTACTGAGCTGCCGTCCCGTGGTAAGTCAAAACAGTTTCTGAACCAGGTTGACCAAGCAATGTAACGAATGGTCGAGCTACGTCGATCGTGACCTTTTCATTGTATACACCTGGAGCCAACTTGATGATCACACGGTTCTTGTTTCCAGTAGGAATACTCTTGATCGCTTCGTTTATTGTCTTAAAATTAGCGCCTCCTTTTTGATTCACCTACAATGAAATACTCACTCCGTTTAGAAAAATCCATGTTTTAGATTTATTTTTTTTGAAATACATTTTTTTTTTCATTTTTACAGTTATAATACTTTTTTATTAAATAATAATAAGTTATATTTTTAAAATAATTGTGGTTATTGAATTTGTTGTAACCGAACAAGGACTATATTGTAACGTACGGTGATAATTTGTCGTGCTGTTTCAGCAGCTTCCAGGGCGGGGTCTAGGGTTCCTTTTCTCTGGGAATAGGGTGCAACGTTTGTCTGGAACCATTGCGAGATCTGGGACTTGTCTTCTGGAATCGGCGCTGTATCGGTGGCTAGAACCACTGGAGAGGCAAAAGCAACTAGGAAGGCAACTATGGCCAGAGAAAGGTAACCCATCTTTTATTAGTTTAATATGTTAATTATTTTTTTTTATTTTTCTTACCAAATAAAAGAAACTAACTAAAAGAAAACAGAGCAAAAAAGTTACGTGTTTACTATCAGATTATTTACTATTGAAGAAATGAAGAAGCATCGGCGGGGGTTTCCCTTTATATATTTGTCTTGGTCGTTCATGTCTGACCGGACAGATCTAATTTTTACTATTATCGTTTCGTTGTGGCTTATATCTGTTGGAGCTTTTCCAATAAAGGAGAAGTTTTTTTTTTTATTGAACTGAGGCTTCAATAAAGGAGAAGTTACAGGTTGTAAAGTCAATACGTTGGTTAACCTTTCCAGAGATGAAATTCTATTATTATATTTTCTGTTTTTATATTTACCTAAACTACATATTGTGTTATGCTTGAATGTAAACTACCTAGACAAGACTATTAAGGGAATTTTCACAATGAGGTATTTGTCATTATTGTAATTTTACAGGTTTCGAATGCTAATTATTCATATTATGAAAGATGTAAAATGTAATAATGTGATAGTTCTCTGCGTAACGTGTTCATATTTTATAAAGGCTAAGTCAATGTTCTAAACAAAAATATTCCATATTCTTTTACAACTATTTTTTTGCAAGTGCTTGGAGAATAAAAAATGTAATGTGGGTTGTCAAGTTATTTAAAATGACCGATTAATTAGTTAAAAATGACTTGCATTTTAATTATTGAGTAGATGCAATTAACGTGGCTAAAATATAATAGTATCTGGCGATAAAACAAATGAAAATTTGAATATACTGATCATAACTTATATGATACGTATCTCATATTGGTCGTGGCCAATCCGCGGATGACTTGGCCACGAAGAAACTACTAACTAAGATTTCAATCTCTCTCGTTCTCATTTTAAAAACTCTTCGCTCAACGTATAGCTTATTTATATCAGATACACAAAGCATCTCTAAAGAGAGAAGCTGAAACGTAAAGTTGAGCAGTCCAAAGTAACATGCAAACGCTAGGGCTCGAAAACGCGACAACAATATACAGAAGACAGTCGTCGGCGAGAATTGGTGATAAAGAGTACGCGGAGATCTCGCTCGATACCAACAGCTTGAAGCCATGCGAGGATCCAGGGAAGTCACTCCTGAGACAAGGCCATTCGAGGAAGAATAGTACTATCTCGGTTCTGAAACGCCTAGCGTCATCACTTCCTAGCGAACTGAGACGTGTTGCTTCTTCCGGTTCCTTGACGCCGCCGGAGACAAAACCACCGCGTAGGCGGCTAAAATCTAGCACAGAGCTAGCGCTCAAGGGTCTCAAGTTCATTACAAAGGTTGATGGCGTCGCTGGTTGGCCTCGTGTTGAGGAAGTTTTTGATAAGATAACCGAGACGACCAGCGGTTTATTGGACCGTTCCAACTTCGGTGACTGTATAGGTAAGCAGAGAAGCTCAAGTTGAATCTTTATTTATGTGGTTGGATAAATTATAATTTGGATTTTGGTAATAAACTTTGCTGCAGGTATCAAGTCACGGGAGTTTGCAAAGGCATTGTTCGGTGCCTTAGCAAGGAGACAAAACATAGGCGGAGATAAAATAAGCAAAGATCAGCTGAAACTATTCTGGGAGCAGATCAATCATCAGGACTTTGATTCGAGGCTACAAATTTTCTTCGACATGTATTTTTTCTTGAAAACCTTTTTTTTTTTGGGTAGACATATATTTACCCATGAGAACTATCATATAGCATCAGATCCCCACCGAACTATGACCTAATGCTAGATCTCCACGAATTGAAAACTGCAAACCTATTTCTCCCCGAATCAATACTTCAAAACTTAATTAGCCACACATGATGGTTCCTTTATATGATTGGATTTTGTTTTTTTTTGATGATTCGACGCAACACCAACGCTTTTAGTTTCATGTCTGAATTGTGCTCAGGGCTGATAGGGATTTGGATGGGAGGTTGAATGAAGAGGAAGTAAAAGAGGTAGACTTTGATTCTTAGTACTAGAAAAAAGGTTGAAGCTCATTGTGATCTTTGTTGTAAATAGGTTTTCCTCTTCATGTACAGATTATAGCTCTAAGTGCATCTGCCAACAACCTGGAAAAGTTTAGTGAACAAGCAGATGAATTTGCAGCTTTGATTATGGAAACACTAGATCCCTATTATTGTGGGTACATCATGGTATGTTTCTGTGGACCGTTGATACTTAGGCAGCATTTGTTTTGTGAGTATGTGTGTTTTTAACGTTTTTGGAGTCACTTTCTTCTACAATGCCAAACAGAGAGATGATCTCAAGGTACTGCTGTTGCAAGGGCCAGCTGAGGCTGGCAAAGAAGACAATGGTACGGAAGTGAGCAATTTGTTAGCTCAGCAGCTCGCAGTATTGCAGAGTAGGAATCGTGGGAAGCGTTTGTACGATGGTATTAAGTATTTTGTGTTGGATCATTGGAAGAGAGTGTGGGTGATGGCTCTATGGATTGCTGTTATGGCCGGGCTGTTCATGTGGAAGTCCATGGAGTATCGAAATAGAACCGCTTACCAAGTTATGGGAACTTGTGTTTGTATAGCTAAAGGAGCTGGAGAGACCCTTAAACTGAACATGGCTATTGTTTTGCTACCAGTATGTAGGAACACCATCACTTGGCTCCGGACCAAAACCAAGTTAGGTGTTGTTGTTCCTTTTGATGACAACCTCAACTTCCACAAGGTAATGTTAGCTTTGTTGAGTATATAGATCACCAAGATGCAACACACTTATGATTGAATCTTAATTACACAGGTCATTGCAATAGCAATCTCAATTGGAGTCGTAATCCATGCCACAGCTCACTTAGCTTGTGATTTCCCTCGGCTGATAGCTGCAGATGAAGAGACGTATAAGCCAATGGAGCAGTATTTTGGGGTACAGCCAAAAAGTTATGTAGAATTTTTGAAGTCAGTGGAAGTAGTTACCGGGACTAGCATGGTTATATTAATGACGATAACCTTCACCTTGGCTACATCATTGTTCAGAAGAAATAAGTTGGAGTCTCTTCCTAAACCATTGAAGAAAATAACCGGCTTCAATGCCTTCTGGTACACTCACCATTTGTTTGTTATCGTCTACACACTTCTAGTTGTTCATGGATACTATGTCTACCTCATCAAGACATGGTACAGGAAGACGGTTAGTAAATTATTAATCACTAGAGACAATATACATAATTTTAGCAGATGCAATAAGTACTTTATGATTTTGGTGTTGATGTTCATTTGATTTATTAGACATGGATGTACTTAATGGTACCGGTGATTCTTTACCTGTCTGAAAGGCTGGTTCGTTCTCTCAGGTCAAGAATCGAGTCTGTTAAGTTACTAAAGGTGGGATTTATAAACATCTGTCTTTTAAAATATTCATCTGTTCCACGCATTTACCTTTATTTTTCAATAGGTTGCTCTGTTACCAGGGAATGTCTTATCGCTTCATATGTCAAGACCAGACAACTTCAGATACAAAAGTGGACAATACATGTATCTCAAATGCTCTGAAGTGTCTTCATTACAATGGTAATAACAAAGACTCATATTATTTGTATTGAAACAAACTGAAAAGTGGTTTGCATATAAACAGGCATCCATTCTCAATTACATCGGCTCCAGGAGATGATTACCTCAGTGTTCACATCAGGGGTCTAGGAGACTGGACTAGAAGGTTACGAGAAATATTCGAAGAGGTACTTCATTCCATTTTTTTCCTTTAGATAAACCCCTAGAGATTAAGTTAAGTGGGTCAACTATGTAATTTCATTTGTATGGATCTGATCCTCAGGTGTGTGCCACGCCCACCCCTGTTAAAGCGGGACTGATTAGAGCCAACTTTAGGAATGAGGATATGTAAGTCTTATCAATAAGTTATTCATTTCCGAAAGATGATTTACTAATAAGTTTTACGCATAGTAAAAATATACTAATAAATGTTACAACTAAATATAATATAATAAATGTTACAACTAAATATATTATTTGTCTATATTATAAATTTCTAATAAGTATCAACAACAATATTTAATCATTCAGAATATTTTCATCTAACTATTCTATAAAATTTACAGTTTGTTAATATTTAACTAAAGAAAAAAATATCTTAAAATATAAAAACTTTAAAACATTCATTATCTTTGTAAAATAAGAAATAAATGTAAAAAGTTTATCCTCGAGAACGGAGCGAGTATAATATTATGTCTCTAAGGGGAGATTAAATTGCTGCTTTGACTTTTTTGAACTGTTAAAGCCGTAGCTTACCAAAACTCCTAATCCACGGTCCATATGGAGCACCATCACAAGACTTCAAGAACTTCGAAGTTGTTCTGCTGGTGGGTCTCGGAATCGGAGCTACTCCTATGATCAGCATTATCAAGGATATAATCAATAACTTGAAAGTCACTACTGGAGATGAAGAAGAAGGAAGAGGCAGTAACCGGATCACACCTCCTTCCATTTCTCCTGCAAGCAAAAGCGAGGTGTTCAAAACCAAGAAAGCTTACTTCTACTGGAGCACAAAAGAGCAAGAAACTTTTGACTGGTTCAGGAACGTGTTGGACGACGTGGCCGAGGCAGATGATAACAACGTTATTGAACTGCATAATTACTGCACCAGCATCCACGAGGAGGGAGACGCGAGGTCCGCACTGATCACGATGCTCCAGTCACTGTACCACGCCAAGCACGGAAGGGACCCTGTGTCAGGAACACGTGTCATGTCCCATTTCGCTAGGCCAAAATGGAGGAGCATTTACAAAAGGATCGCTGTGAAGAATCCCAATACCAGAGTCGGTGAGTATTCTTCATCAATCTTATCTTATTACTTGTTATGCATATATATTAGCTTGAATGCGAAACAATATGAAAATTTTGATGCATTTGGCAGGAGTATTTTACTGTGGAACACCTGGAGCAGTGAAAGAGCAACAAGACTTAGCAAAGGAGTTCTCGCAAACCTCCACCAAATTCTGTTTCCATAAAGAAAATTTCTAGAAGGTTACGTTTTCTTATATAGATATTGTTGTTTTATTGTACTATATTCAAACATATGTATTGTTTTGATTTGGTTTGTTACATTAGGAAAATATAGTTAACTCAATGTTGTGTATTTTGTTATTACTAAGTTGAAGTTATGTTAACATATTGTTTCTGTTCCAAGGAGTTATCAAGTCAGTGTATGTGTTTATTTTGGTTTGGATGAAATGGACATTAAGAAAAACATTTTGAAGGATATGCGAGTGAAATATTGATCTCCGTAGTGGTCAAGTACGTGACCGGATTGTCTATCTAATGATATAAATCATCTGCATTCGGATTCTTTCGGGTCATGAATTTTCTGAATTATGATGTAACCAAGAGTGAGGAAAGGCCTAACTTCGTTTTGATCTAACATCTTGTGTGTAAGGCACTCTCTTCTTTTGGTGTGAACCTGGTCCGAAACACTTGTACTCTCCATAGAAGACCGTCCTCCATTATACAACATGATATCAAATAATCGAATTTACTACATATAACTGACATATATTATACACGTAGTCGTACATGAGATGTTGTGAACAGGCTTGGTTAAGAGTTGCCACTCTCAACGGGTAGGTGAAATTACAAGTTGTAAAGTCATTACGTTGGTTAACCTTTCCCAAGATGAAATTCTATTATTATATTTTTCTATTTTTATATTTACCTAAACCACATACAGTACTGTGTTATGCTTGAATGTAAACTAGCTAGACAAGACTATTAAGAAAACTTTCATAATGAGGTATTTGTCATTGTTGTAAATAAAGATGTAAAATGTAATAATGTAATAGTTCTCAACGTAACGTGTTCATTATACGTAACGTGTTCATATTTTTTGAAGGCCAAGTCAATGTTCTAAACAATAATATTCCATATTCTTATACAACTATTTTTGGGCAAGTGATTGGAGAATAAAAAATGTTATGTGGGTTGTCAAGTTATTTTAAATGACCGATTAATTAGTTAAAAATGACTTACATTTAAATTATTGAGTAGATGAAATTAACATGAGCTAATATATATATAATTGTATCTGCCGATAAAACAAAGAAAAAGATTTGAATATGCTGACCATAATGTATATAACAAATCTTTCACACTGGACGTGACCGGATAATGCGTAGGAGATTTGAACGAAGAAAGTACTTAACAAAGAAGAAAGTACTAACGAAGGTTTCTATATAATATCGAGTAACTCGTCTCTTTCGTTGTCACCATTATAAAAACTCGTCGCACAAAGCATCTCTCTAAAGAAATTAAAGTTGAGTAGTCCAAAGTAACATGCAGACACTAGGGATCGAAAAGGCGACAAGATATAGAGGACAGTCGTCATCGGCGAGCAGTGGTTACGAGGAAGGTCATAAAGAGTATGTGGAAATCACACTCGATATGAATGACGATTCCATCTCCGTGAACAGCTTGAAGTCACCAAAGAACGAGGATCCAGAGACATCACTTCTAGGACAAGGCCGTACGAGGAAGAATAGTTTCTCGGTACTGAAACGCATAGCGTCATCAGTTTCTAGCGATCTGAGGCGAGTCACTTCTTCTGTTACGTTGACGCAGGAGACAAACCCACCGCGTAGGCCGCGGAAATCAAGCGCAGAGCTAGCGTTAAAGGGTCTCAAGTTCATTACCAAACATGATGGCGTCGCTGGTTGGCCTGGTGTTGAGAAAAAATTCAATGAAATAACGGAGAAGACCAGTGGTTTATTGCTCCGTTCCAAGTTTGGTGAATGTATAGGTAAGAAGAAACTGAGTTTGAATGCTTTGTGGTTACATAAGTTTTCATTTGAATTTATTAATTGGTATACTTTGCTTGCAGGGATCAATTCAGAGGATTTTGCGTTGGCATTGTTCGACGCTTTGGCAAGGAGACAAAACATAACTGGAGATGTGATAACCAAGGATCAGCTTCAAGTATTCTGGGAGCAGATCAATGATCATGACTTTGATTCGAGACTACGAATTTTCTTCGACATGTAATAACCATTTTTTATACGATTCTTTTTTTTTTTTTGGGTGTCAATGTTAAAATTTAATTTAAAAAAAATAATATATATATATATATATATATATATATATTACGCTTCTTTTTTTATGATCATATATATACACCAACTCTTTCAGTCTCATGTGTTGAAATGTGTTCAGGGCCGATAAGGATGCGGATGGAAGGTTGAATGAAGATGAAGTAAAAGAGGTAGATTTTGATTCTTAGTATTTAGAAAAATTTTGAGGCTTTTTTTGTTTGTTTGTGATCTCTGTCATAAGTAGTTTTTACTCTTCATGTACAGATTATAACTCTAAGTGCTTCCGCAAACAATCTGAATAACATTAAGAAACAAGCAGATGAATATGCTGCTTTGATAATGGAAGAACTAGATCCCTATGATCGTGGGTACATCATGGTATATGTTTCTATGAACTGATGATATTAAGGCAGCATTTGTTTTGTGGCTGTTTTTTTTAACTGTTAGGAGTCACTTTCTATAATGCCAAACAGATAGAGGCGCTCGAGGTACTGCTGTTGCAAGGGCCAGCTATGGCTATGGGAGATGTCAAGAGTAAGGAAGTGAGCATTTTGATAAGTCAGCAGCTCGAAGTATCACATAGTAGGAATCTCTGGAAGCGTTTGTACAATGGGGTTAAGAATTTTGTGTTGGATAACTGGAAGAGATTGTGGGTGATGGCTCTATGGATAGCTGTTATGGTCGGGCTGTTCACATGGAAGTTCATGGAGTATCGAAAAAGACCAGCTTACCAAGTTATGGGAACTTGTGTTTGTATAGCTAAAGGAGCTGGAGAGACCCTTAAACTGAACATGGCTATTGTTTTGTTACCAGTTTGTAGGAACACTATCACTTGGCTCCGGACCAAAACCAAGTTAAGTGTTGGTGTTCCTTTTGATGACAACCTCAACTTCCACAAAGTAATGTTAGCTTTCTGGAGTATTCTTGTTCAGATCACCGCGATGCAAAACACTTCTGATTGAATCTTACGCAGGTCATTGCAATAGCAATCTCAATTGGAGTTGGAGTCCATGCCACAGCTCACTTAGCATGTGATTTCCCTCGGCTGATAGCTGCAGATGAAGAGACTTACAAGCCAATGGAACAGTATTTTGGAGTACAACCAAAGAGCTATGTAGAGTTTTTGAAGTCAGTGGAAGTAGTTACCGGGACAGTCATGGTTATATTAATGACTATAACCTTCACCTTGGCTACATCATGGTTCAGAAGAAATAAGTTGAATTCTCTTCCTAAACCATTGAAGAAAATTACTGGCTTCAACGCCTTCTGGTACACTCACCATTTGTTTGTTATCGTCTACACACTCCTAGTCGTTCACGGATACTATGTCTACCTCATCAAGACATGGTACAGGAAGACGGTTAGTAACTAGATATAATGTACAAAGTTGTAGTAGATGCAATACATACTCTCTGATTTTGATTTTTTTATTTATTTAATAGACATGGATGTACTTGATGATACCGATGGTTCTTTACCTGTCTGAAAGGCTGGTTCGTTCGCTCAGGTCAAGAATCGAGCCTGTTAAGATACTAAAGGTGGAATTTATAAACATTTGCCGGTTAAAATGTTTATATTTGCTACATACTTACCTTGAAGTTTCAACAGGTTGGTCTGTTACCAGGGGATCTCTTAATGCTTCAAATATCAAGACCAAACAACTTCAGATACAAAAGCGGACAATACTTGTATCTCAAATGTTCTGAAGTATCTTCATTAGAATGGTAATGACACAAACACTGATATTATTTGGATGGAAACAAACTGAAAAGTGAGTGGTTTGCATACAAACAGGCACCCATTCTCAATTACATCGGCTCCAGGAGATGATTACCTCAGTGTTCACATCAGGGGTCTAGGAGACTGGACTAACAAGTTACGAGAAAAATTCAAAGAGGTACTTCACTCCTTTTTTTTTCCTTTAGATAAAACACTAGAGATTAATTAAGTGAGTCCAAGTATTTCATTTGTATGGATCTGGTCCTCAGGTGTGTGCCCCAGCCCCCCCTGATGATAAGAAGCGGATTATAGCCGATTTGAGGAATGGGAATAACTACCCTTTGTAAGTCTTATCAATAAGTTATTCATTGAGACATATTCCATTCATTTCCGCAAGATTATTTTTATTGTTTTCACGCATAATAAAAATATAATAAATATTAAATATACGGTTTGTAGACATTATAAAATTGTTAAAACTATCAACTATAATATTTAATAAATTAAAATATTTTCATTTAATATTTTATAAAAAAATACAATTATTAATATTAAAGAATAAAAGATATTTTAAAATGTAAAAAAATCTTTCTTAGTAGTAACTTAAAAGTAAATAAATAAAAATTTATTTTTTCGCGAAGGGAGAGAGTATAATATTATAACAGAGGGGATATTAAATTGCTTTGATTTTAAACTGTTAAAGCCGTAGCTTTCCAAAACTCCTAATCGACGGTCCCTATGGAGCACCATCACAAGACTACAAGAACTTCGAAGTTGTTCTACTGGTGGGTCTAGGAATCGGAGCTACTCCTATGATCAGCATTATCAAGGATATAATCAATAACTTGAAAGTCAATATTGGAGATGAAGAAGAAGGAAAAGGCAGTAACCGAAGCCACAACATGGTCACACCCCCTTCCATTTCCCCTGCAAGAAAAGGCGAGCTGTTCAGAACCAAGAGAGCTTACTTCTACTGGAGCACAAAAGAGCAAGGAACTTTTGACTGGTTCAAGAGCGTGATGGACGAAGTGGCCGAAGCAGATGTTAACAACATTATCGAGCTACATAACTATTGCACCAGCATCTTCGAGGAAGGAGACGCGAGGTCCGCACTGATCAAGATGCTGCAGTCACTATACCATGCCAAGAAGGGAAGGGACGTTGTGTCAGGGACACGTGTCATGTCCGAATTCTCTAGGCCAAAATGGAGGAGCATTTTCAAAAGGATCGCTGTGAAGCATCCCAACACCAGAGTCGGTTAGTTTCTTTGTCAATCTTATCTTATTGCTTCTTATGCATATATATATAGCTTGAATGCGAGAAAATCTGAAAGTTTGGTGTATTTGGCATGCAGGAGTGTTTTATTGCGGAGCAGCTACAGTAGTGAAGGAGCTACACAACTTGGCAGTGGAATTCTCTCATAAGACGTCCACCAAGTTCTATTTCCATAAAGAAAATTTCTAGAAAATTACTTTGAAAACATTATTGATATCTGCTTCCTGGTCGTATAACTTTGGTAAAAATTGTACGCATGAAGCGATTTAATATTGTTACTCTTGTTCCCCAAAGAATGAAATAAATAAATAAATATATATTCAATCATCAGATCTCCACAACAACAACAGATATAACAACAAAGTTATAGGTTGTCTACTCCAGTAAATATTTTGATTGGCCCTTCCAACGGAAATTCTATTATCATATTTTTCTATTTATAATTTTACCTAAATCACGTATTATGTTTGAATGTAAATTTGCTGGACATGACTATAAGAGAGTTTTCATTATGAGGTATTAGTCAATTCCATATTTCATGAGGTAGTTACAATATATATATATATATATATATCTGTACGCCGTAACTGTAAACTGTAGAAGAATTTTTGAATAGTTCTAAACTGTATAGAAATTTATATTTAAATAACACATAATAAGTTATAATCAATGGAAGTTTAGTGAAATGTCAATTTTAGATGATATTAATTTCCAAAGATTGTTGTTATGAAACTTTTTCCGAGATATACTATGTCTATGAATTAGTTTATGAAGTGACATCGTAAGTACGTATAGACATTATCTTTTTTTTTTCATTTTCACTTTTATAATATTTTTTTTTATATACACATGTTGTGTAGTTCAATAAAGCCGTTGCTAATATATTTAGTGAACTCTATAAAATTTTATAAATTACTTTTATCTTGATTTTATAAAGTAATACTATTTTATATATTTTACAAATGACCATACATGCATAAAGTGATATTTCAAAAGTAGATATCAAACAAGTGATATTTTAACCAAGTCAACTTGGTTTAGTGATAAAATGGTTGCATCTGAAACTTCTAACCTAGATTCGAGTAGTATTGACTATTTTAGCTGCGCTTAAAATGAATGTACTTGTAAGAGTTTGTGGGATTAGTCTTTGGGCATATAAAACCTTTAGGATCTCACGTTTATAAAAAAAAATATGATAATTTGAAATTATAATATCATGAAGTAATCTATTAAATATCAGCTAACTATCTGATTGAAGTGAGTAACATACATTTGAACTGGTGACAAAACAAATTGTGCCAGAAAGTATACATTTGAAGTTTTCAACTATAGACGTATCATGTGGTAAGCATATCCGATTTATTTAGGAGTCTGTGTGAGTTTGGGTGAAGGATGTATGGCCTCTCTAGCGCAAGTTCTTAATAATAATTGCGTCTCACATATTCTATGTACATTAAATAAGAATAAATTTTGATAACATGTATTACCAAAAAGAAAAAAATTGATAAACTGTAACCAACTTTCCCATTTTAACACATCTGCATGTTTTTACAAAACTCTTGGTTAAGTTAACTTGTCAAGGTACATTAATGATGTTAATTTTATGAAAGATGTAAATGTAATGATGTGATAGTGTCCTCTGCGTGAGCGTGTTCATATTTCTTTAAAAGTTCAAAGTCAATGTTCAAAACAGAAAATAATAAAATCTGGCGATAAGAAAAAAGAAAATTAGACAATGTGATTTTTACTTTCCTCGGTACGACCTTAACACATTTGCTTGTTTTTAAGATTCTCTTCTACCGTAGATGGTAAGGTAACCTTGTGAAGGTAAATTATTGTGACGTACGGGTATATCGAATGCTAAATATTCATATTGTTAAATATGTAATGACGATAAAGCTGCTCTAAAAGGCCAAAGTCAATGTCTAAACAAAAAATATTCCACAACATATTCTTTCACAACTAATTTTAGAAAGAGGTTGGTAAAGAGAAACTGCTATGTTTATTATACACGACCGATTAATTAGTTATAAATGACTTTACATTTCAATAATTGAGTAGATGCGATTAACGTGAGCTAAGATAACGTTTATAAGTAAGTTTTTCTTGTATAGGACGTGACCGGATAATGCGCGGGAGACTTGACCAAGAAGAAAACACTAAACAACTCACAGTGAAATTCCATCGAAACCCACAAACAATTACATCAACAAAAAGTATAATATAATTACATTATGTTAGTTGATTAATATTTATATTAAATCATTTGAAAACTCTTAGCTCAATCATTTGAAAACTCTTAGCTCAGCGTTGCTTATTTATATCAGATGAACAAAGCATCTCTAGAGGCAGAGCTTGAAATTTACATTTTGAAGTAAAATAAAAGATCAAAGGTTTGAAAACATGAGGAGATACCACTCCCAAAGCGACATGTTACCGTACCAAGGACAGTCGTCGGCGAGTAGTGGCTACGACGAATCCCTGTATGTGGAGGTAGCATTAGATTTTGGCGAAGATTCCGTGTCCCTGCACAGTTTGAGGACACCACAATACGAAGATCCGGAGAAATCACTTATGGGACAAGACCGTACGGTAAAAAAGAGTAGCTCGGTGTTGAAACGCTTAGCGTCATCAGTTTCTAGCGAACTAAAACGAGTTGTTTTGACGTCAGCGGCTGCCACAAAACCCCCGCGTCTGCCGCTGGCTACGTTCCCACGTTCGGGATCTAAACAAGATGTGGCGCTTAAGGCTCTCAAGTTCATCACCAATAATGATGGCGTTGATGGTTGGCCAGCGGTTGAGAAAGAGTTCGATAAGTTAACCGAGAAGACCAACGGTGTACTCCTCCGTTCTGACTTCGGTGAATGTATAGGTAAGCAGAAGCCGAGTTTAAATAATTTTTCATATTTATTTGGTGCGCACTTTGCTGAGCAAAAAATATATATAGACGCTGCTGCTATAGGGTTAGACCCAAAAAAGAAAAAAAAGTCTAGTGCATGGAAGTCAACGGAGTTTGCGACGGCATTGTTTGACGCATTAGCAAGGATGCATAACATAACTGGGGGTGTAATAAACAAGACTGAACTGCTAGCATTCTGGGACCAGATGAATGATCAATATTTTGATTCCAGGCTACGAACTTTCTTCGCTATGTAATGTTTCTTGAAACCATTACTTTATACGTTCCGACACCAACTATTTTAGTCTCATGTTTGAATTGTTCTTTTTTTTTTTTTTTTTTGAATTGTTCAGGTTTGATAAGGATGCGGATGGGCAGTTGAGTGAAGACGACGTAAGAGAGGTAGAATGTGATTCTTTATTGGAATTATGTAGAGACTAATGGGTCATGTGCTTTAAGATTGTGTAAGAATATAAACTCCCACTTCGAGAGTTAACAGAGAACTTTACTAATATATAAATGACTTGGACCAATCTCGTCAATTGGTTTGAGTCGAAAGATCACAGAATTTAATATTCTTAGTATTAGAAAATCATGAAGCTCTTTTGTGATCTCGGTCATAAGTAGACTTTCCTCTCTTCATGTACAGATTATAAATCTAAGTGCTTCTGCCAACAGCCTGGCTAAAATTAGGGATCAGGCAGATGAATATGCTGCTTTGATTATGGAAGAACTAGATCCCTGTGGTTGTGGTTACATCCTGGTATGTTAAACTTTGTGAACTGATGATAGTTAATTAGTAAGCATTTGTTTTGTGAGTGTGTTTTTATGTGTTTGGATGCACTTTCTACAATGCCAAACAGATAGAGTCTCTCGAGGTACTGCTGTTGCAACCGCCAATTGAGGCTATCAGAAATGCCAAGAGTAAGGAATTGAGCATGGATCTAAGTCAGAAGCTGGAAGTGTCACATAGTAAGAATCCCCGAAAGCGTTTGTACAGTGGGGTGAAGTATTTTTTGCTGGAAAATTGGAAGAGAGTGTGGGTTATGTCTCTATGGATAGCTGTTATGGCCGGGCTGTTCACGTGGAAGGCCGTGGAGTATCAAAAAAGATCTGCTTACCAAGTTATGGGAGCTTGTGTTTGTATAGCTAAAGGAGCTGGAGAGACCCTTAAACTGAACATGGCTATTATTTTGTTACCAGTTTGTAGGAACACCATCACTTTGCTCCGGACCAAAACCAAGTTAGGTGTTGTTGTTCCTTTTGATGACAACCTCAACTTCCACAAGGTAATGTTAGCTTCCTGGAGTGGAGTATATATTAAGAAAAAGAAAATTCAGATCACTTATGATTGAATCTTATAACAGATCATAGCAATAGCAATCTCAATTGGAGTTGGATTCCATGCCACAGCTCACTTAGCCTGTGATTTCCCTCGGCTGATAGCTGCAGATGAAGAGACGTATAAGCCAATGGAGCAGTATTTTGGAGTACAGCCAAAGAGTTATGTAGACTTTTTGAAGTCAGTGGAAGTAATTACCGGGACTGTCATGGTTATATTAATGACCATAAGCTTCACATTGGCTACATCATGGCTCAGACAATATAAGGATGTCGACAAACTTCCTCAACCATGGAAGACAATAATTGGCTTCAACGCCTTCTGGTACACTCACCATTTGTTTGTTATTGTCTACTCACTCCTAGTCGTTCACGGATACTATGTCTACCTCATCAAGACATGGTACAGAAAAACGGTTAGTAACATATTAATTATTAAACAGTTCTCAACCTATGTATCTTGTATAAGTATCCCATCTTGTTGTTGTAATGCACTCTTTGATTTGGTTTTCATTTGATTCAATAGACTTGGATGTACTTGATGGTACCGGTGGTCCTTTACCTGTCTGAAAGGCTGGTTCGTACACTCAGGTCAAGGATTGAGGCTGTTTCAATACTAAAGGTGGAGTTTATAAACATATTGGCTTTTGAAATATTGAGAAGGCAAGAAGGAGTTCCTGTATTCATCTCTGGCTACATGATTAATTTTTCAACAGGCTGAAGTGTTACCAGGGAAGCTCTTATTGCTTCATATGACAAGACCAAACAACTTTAGATACAAAAGCGGACAGTACATGTATCTCAAATGTTCTGACGTGTCTCCAATAGAATGGTAATAACACAAACTCTCCTATTACGTGTATGGAAATAAACTGAAAAGTGGGTTGCATATAAACAGGCATCCATTCTCAATTACCTCGTCTCCAGGAGATGATTACCTTAGTGTCCA